TTCAGTAGCACACAAAATCGGGAGCCTGCTTCCAAATAATAGGCCCGCCTTTCATTACATAAAGCTGAAAGGTTTTTTTCTGTAGGAATAAGCTGTCAGTTTCTGTTAGCGTGTGAGAATTCAGTTCATATTGTTAGTGGATCGGGTTAATAAATGAAGACAGAATTTCACTGTACCTTTAATGTGGACTGAACTGAACTGATAGTGAACCCAAACTACATCTTTCACTACCAATTCTATTCAGTAAAGAAGTTTATGAAGCGATTTCTGCATAAAACATGCACTTCCTTATGTAAAATATGTATTATTATAATCATAATCAATAAATGGTATGAATTGAAGGAGATATAATAGAGAAGCCGTTGAGAATGTTGAAATATAGGTAGAACTATGCACTTCACTTTTGTAGGTATAACAAGTCCGCATAAAAACTGAGAAACACAAATGTTTTCTCTCTACATAACCGATTCAGTGAGCACGTATTAGATTAGTGCAGTTGAAAATAAATTCAAAAACTGTGGTGGTATTAACGAAAATCTCACATTCCAGTCGACTCGATTTTCCTGGTGTAAACTAGGCTAGTTTTTTTTTTGATGAAACGTTAGTAATGTTTACAATTTAGAAAGAGCATTCTAGGCAAACACAGAGCGACCTCTGTTATGTTCGGTGTGTAAGGAAGGCACGGTGAAGTTCTGGGATATTACCACTTCTCGTCGTTTCAAGCTGGTAGAAGAGGTCAGTGTTGGAAGATTCTTACTTATTTTCATGCTAAGAAAAACCTTTTCCGATTATACTGCCACTTTCCTGCTAATCTCAAAACATGACGTGAAAGTTGAGATTTCAGATGCCGAAGGCTCACTCTGAAGCAATCTATTCCGTTTGTTCCAATAGGTCCATGGTGTTCACGGCATCGAGGTCGGTTCTCAGTTTCATAGTGTCATTAATTACTTACATTAGATTTTTTTTGGGCTTTTACTCCAAGTCTTAGTTAATGGAACTGATATTGAACATTTATTTACGTGAAAATATGTGCCCATTTTTTGGTTTCCCAGTATGGGGAGGGATACGCGTTTTGTTTTGAAATGGTACATTTTGGTTGCTCTTGGCTACCAGCTTTTTCCTTTTTTGGCTTCATAATGTGAGCAAATGAATATTAATTAATTCGAATATCTGCTTTCTTTTTAATCTTGTTCTTCTTTAATAATTTCGATTTAGTGATCAAACTATCGGTTTCTGGAAGCTTAGCGTTCAAGATTAGGATGTGGCCCGTGTGTGAAGGTCATGTGCTGGAAATGACTATTTTCAAATTCACATTAGTATAACTCTGTCTATACTTGATTTTATGCATTGCAGCAAACACAATTGAGATGTTCAAATCCTTAACTATAGGGTAGCTAGGGTAGCTCTCATACTTTCATTCTCATCTTTAGATTTTGAAATGTATATTTCAAAAACTTTCGAAAATTCATATTACGAACAGAAGAAAGTGGATAATTATTGTCTAAAGAAGCGCGATAGTACTCATCAGTCGTTTATGATTGATTTTCACTCATCGTTTATGATTGCAGTTCCAGCTATTCTGTTGACAATTCTAAACATCATATATCTATACATCTATATGTATCTATCTATCTATCTATATATACATATATAATATATATATGCATATATACATACATACATATATGTGTATATACATACATGCATACATATATACATATATGTGCATGTATGCATATATATTCTTGTATAAAAACCGTTGATGCGATCAAATCGAAGGAACAAACCTTTTTTTTCACTGCTTTGAGGTTCTAAGCTTTTGAATCACGCGTCGCTTATTGAAAAACCTGCTTAGTCGCCAAAACGTTGTATATTCTATGTCGAGTATTTTTCCATACTTATGACCAACATGTACATTTTATTTGGTCTGTTCGGTCTCACTAATGCTTGTTTTTTTATCAATGTTGATTTAGAGAAAGTCAACTCTTGTCATACAATCTTGAAAGTGGTGTTGTCGACTTTTCAATGTTCTTAATTCGGTGATTGGTATTGTTAATCAAACTCGGTTCATTTTGAGTAAGCCTTCACTGTTATTGGTTGTTCCACGATTTCACTTCTACAATCTTTGGTATTATTCACTTTTGTGATTCGACAGCTAACAGAATTATACTGTGATTACTTTACTCTTGAAGAAACCAATATCTTATCACTTATGTTGCGAAGCTGGTGTCTTTGCTATAGATCCGTCAAACGTGGTTGTTTATTATAAGTGCTTTATATGGTTTTCTTTGGTCACTGAACTGTCAATGAAGATATGTAGTGTTTATGTTCTCAAAAAAATTTTTTTTTCATCATTGAAATTACGACACGACAACACATGATCACATTGCGGGTGCTAGCTAGCACTTGCATTCGATTCGTTTACTCACATCAGCCATAGTCTTTAACACCTCGGCCACGACAAGGGTCGATTTCGACGATTGCGATTTCGATCCTTTTCATCTGAGGTACTGATAGAATATTATCGTGATGGAATCATGAAGCACAGCAGGAGATACTTCAAGGAAAGTTTTATATTCTAAGGAAATGCCCATGTAACGCATCAAGTTTTCAACGAGAAAAGCAATTATTGTGGAAGGAAACTTATTTCCATATGTTATATAACTTTTTTTCTGTCTTTTTTACCCACGTTTTTCTATCTCCCACTATGTTTGCTATGTGAAAATACTTTTATAGCCCGTTCTATAACGAAAAAGGACACTTTTTACAGTCAGAGTTCGTTTTTTATCAACTTCAGAAGATTTTTCTTGGCATTACGAATCAGAATTTTGATTCCAAGATAACTATCGATAAAGAATAGTAGTTGTGATGCAAAATAAAGAAATGTTACAGAAAAGGCTCCTATAAAGGATTCATAGTAAAGAGAATGGTTATTAAATCTTCTATGTTTCAGCGAAAAAACCGCTCCTGACAAAAAACAAATTTTTCTGATTCCATATAACAATTTTTCCTGATTTATTGATGTTTTATTAGTCTTTTGATGAAATGAATAACGCCGCTTTGATAGTAAGCCTGATTCCTAAAGGAACCGCATAACTACGTTATACTGAAGGAGAAGATTGACGTTTCGCCCTCACGATGCGTTGTTTCAACTTCACAATGAAATTTTTTTACTATCTTTCCTAACAATAAACTTTGATTACATGCAAAGTTCATTGCTAGGAAAGATAGTTCATCGTCAGAGAGATTTCTATAAACGTATTTTTAGAAGAAAAAACGCCCAGTTATTTCACATCTTCTCTGACTCAAAAACTGTGTGAATCCCTGTGGATTGTGCGGATCTATCTACCTTGTTTATTCAATAATCAACATACGTATAACGTGCACGCATATAACATTCATATATGAATATATATGTACATCTCCATATGTGTGTACATCAACATATATATATATATATATATATATATATATATATATATCTTTATATTTACTTGAATGCACGTACAAAAACATATGTACCCACATATAAGCATGTCATATATACGTATAATATATAACAACAATGATAGAATAATTTAACTCAGTAAAAATATATTACGTCCAAAGTAGTTTATTTATGTCCAAGACGTTTGACATTACAAATTTCATGAGTAGCTTTATAAAATTCCCAACAAAAGTTTTTACACTAACTGCACCTAGTACGTGTATTTTGAGCATGATCTAGAGCATAACTATAACGTAAATTCTTATTCACCACGTTTCTATGGCACTCGATGCATTGTCTACGGTTACCCGGAGACGCTTTTCGAGGACGTGGCTAGATCTAGGGTTAGGAGGATTAGGTTGTTCCAAATAGCTGACATACATCGCCGCCTTGAACATGTTGAGTTGGATAATTTCTATGTAGGTGCGGGACAGTATCCATGAATTCTTGAGGAGTATGTGCGTGATAAAGTGGAATAGTAGACGTACATATCTAGAGTACGAATTTACAAATTACGCAGCTAAGAACGAGCGAAATGCTCTCGTCATTTATTAGTCCTCCTGAGGAATGGTGATATGGCAGCTATCTGGTCAGTCTGGTCCACCAGCGGCTTTCTCCTATTGTACATCTCGACGACTTCAAACTTGTCCGCGCAGGGATTTTTGGCAGGCCATGAGCTGTTGAAAGCACTGTGACGTCTTTACTATTCCTATCGCAGGACCATAACGCCATTTTGATTCTGCACGGCTTTCCACTCGCTCTCGTGTGGTTTTCCTTCCATGACCTCCTTAGGCAAGCCTTTCCTGCTCTTTCTGCGTGTTCCGGTAAGGTATGTATAGCTTTGTAGCAGACTCTCCAATAGAGCGACGCTGGAGTACCACTTGTCGGCAAAGAAGTGTCTTCTTTCATTCAGATGATATTTCATTAGATCCTTTACCACAAACTGTAAATGGCTCTTTCGGTGTCGGGTTTGTGCCAGCACCTATGTACACCATCGTTTTGTAGGTGTACCCGCGTTCATCACAAAGTTTAAATAGCTTTATCACATACCTGTATCTTTTGCAAGGTGCATGCTGGTGGAATTTTGATTCGTCCTCTGAATAGCGCTATCGACTCATCAATACACACGTCTTCCCATTGTTTGAATGAGTCCTTACATTTCTCATTGACAAGTTCCATTGACAAGCATTGGCCTTATTTTGTATAACATGTCATTCACATTGTAACTCATATTGTTGCTTACATTCAAGTGGGTCACGACCTCGAACAAGCGATCCCTCGGCATAAGAGGCGACACTATGGAGACTCTCGAAAAATGCGGTCTATTGCTCAAGTAATCATAGAGCCTTGCCAATCTTATAATGGTCATTTTGAGGCTCAAGTCCAAGAATATCTTCATTTCTTCAATCGTTATGTCTTTTCATCCTTCCTTTTTTTGATGACCATATGTATTGGTCTGCTCAACAATTAATTCCCAAACGTCCTTCATAAACAGTTCATAAAACTCCACTGGAGTCTCAGGCCCGAGCTCAAACCTGGGTTGTCCGCGTGGCGGGCGAGCATTCTACCACTGAACCACCAATACACCACAGATATATTGTTGTGGCCTTTTACTCGCCCGCGAATACGAGATTTAGTTGATAATTTATCCAATAACAACAGTATTATTCCAGAGAGCGGTTGGAGATATACGACTAGTGAGTGTCTGGTGTAGGTACGACGAAACAGTTCGTCTAAGACGAGCAACCTAAAAGAACAAATGTTACAATAACGATATTAAACAATATGTGCAAATTCCTGACGCCACGGATAGATTACATAACAGGAACCATGTCTTCTCATGTGCCCAGAAACTGGTATTCGGCAATTACATTCAAGAGCAATGACAAGATAATGAACGAGTGATTGAAGCAACAAGATAGCAGGATCACTAAACGATGATTCAGCAACAAGAAAGTAACAATAGGTACGCGACTTCACAAAACTAGGACAGCAGCAAGAGTGACGGAGGAACCTAAGGGCACCGGCGTCGATGCTGGGTCATCGTTCTCGAACTTTTCGTAAGTACCGTAGCGGATGTGGGGCACGATCACCTTATATGGAACGCGGATATTTTAGATGTTTCATGTGGTCCTTGTGAAGCTCACCGGGGGAGCGAACAGTGGGTTCTTTCCATTGAAGGTCAGAAGAACTATGTACAAAGGGAGGTGATTAAATGTGGGATTATGCGCTTTACTCCCGGTGGCGAATCCTACATGGTTTGTTGTAAAGTTCCGCCACCTGGTGGTCCTCTCCACTCGTTTTCAGCACAGAGCGCAACTTGGTGATCACCCATTTCTCGGTGCCGATGTTACAATGATATCAAACGGTTTCAAAGGCAACGATCCACATTTGATGACTGTAGGTCCTGGTAGTTCTTCACCGTGGCGCGCCGAAGAAGAACGCAACTCCAACCTCCGTACCGTGAGCCCTATACGATCATGTTAATAGCACAGTAGCCATAGGCCAAGAGGAATAAAATAAGAACAAAGTCCTGTGAGAGTTGTTATAAGTGTTCTATAATAAACAATGTATCATGTAAGAAGGGTGGTAAGGATGTTGCAAAACACTAACGATCTTTGCAATGGAATGAGATTCATTGTTTTATCCTCACAAGCACTTTGTTTGACCTACACAGCTGATGTGCTTGATGTACCCAGCTGACGTCCCAAATGTAACTGCTGTTGATAACCTTAACTCGAAAATATTGGGCAGACTTCCGTACAACACTTGTGATTATCGTCACTACAATAGTCTGCTAAGAATTCTATACATATAGGATATCTTACATAGAATATATAACAACTTCCACAGCAATATACCACATATCTTGTGGCAGACATACATATAACAAAGAAACATGTATATTTCTCAAGCAGTTAGTCCGACATCGAAAGGACGGGGAGGGCCATGTCTCTCATGTGTTGATGAACTTCGTAAACTACCTGCCATGATCTTGTTGAGGTGAATCGCAGAAATGGGAACTGGAGGAGGCACAAAAAATTGTCTTGAGAGAAATCAGCCGAAAAGAAATACGTAGGGTACAGGAATTAGTGCTTCTAGTGTCATGAGTCGCCACTTTTTCTTAGGCGCATAGAAAGATTTGTGTCCATTCATTCATTTTCTTTTGATTCATACGACATTCAATTGTACGAAGATGAGTTGTTATCGATGTAGTCAATAAAAGATGAATATGACCAAAATATGAATGAATAAATAAATAAATAGATAAATAAGTAAATAAATAAATATTAAATGAATAAATAAATAAAATTATATATGTATATATAAGATAACATAATGATGTTAAGTAACAGTTCGGAAGATCATCTTATACTACGCATCTGCCTTTTCCCTCAAGATTCGAAGCTTTAGGAGGAAATATTGCCATCGTTTCTGTCACAAGAAGTTTCATGGATATCTCTTCTTTCACAGGTGATCATTTAATGCGGACGAAATTTCCTTTAGTAACGATAAATATCCATATTTCACTAGAAAACTACCACAACGTCATTGCTGCCGCCGCGGTATGTGGCGGCGCGGCGCGGCGGCGCGACGAGCAGGATTTTAACGTCGTTGCCAATGTGTTAAGACTTTCTTGGCGTGCGAGTTCCGTAGCTGCTGGAGGGGGTTTTCTGTTTTCGTCATGAACGCTGCTCGAACCTACTCTTACCGGAGTCCTAGGTTAGCCGTGCTAGAAAGTTCTCACATAAATTGGAGGATTTAGGTTCGTCCCAAAGAAATCTGGCACAAATTTCTCGGTAGAAGGATAAGTATTGCTGATGGGCCCGAAGCGGGATTAAACCAATGCTCAAGCAAAGTATCCGCATTTAGGTACCTATCTATCTAGGTACTGCTATATACATTTGGATACGAGATCGGTGCATTGTTAGGTTGGCGCAAGGATAACTGCGGTTTTAGACCGGTATGAAGCAGTAATTACTTTTGTACTTTGCCTGATTGACGAACGACCTTAGTATGTACGGTCGACGTTCCTCATCTTCAAGGTTTTCGTCTCCTTTATGGAACTTCTTGAACCACTACTGACACTGTGAGTTCGTTAGCAGTTCGTGGGCCAAATGCCTTGTTGGGTGCGAGTTGTCTCTGCTGCTTTTACGACTCAATATAAACTGAAAAAGAAAATCGTTCGGTTTCACTTTACCTCACATCCTTTCCCTGGCATAGAATAAATACAAGGTAGAGAGTAAGTAATAAATCATTAGCAAGCATAGAGAATTACTTATTTAAATGATATACTACATAACCACATTGATTGAAAAAATTCATCCCAGTATGCTGATTTTGTGTTCACCATCTGAAACTGCGATTACTTTTGCACCAGTCTTGTACTTTTGCGTCAAATTTCGTAATTAGTACACCTAGAATCGTGTGTTGTATAGAGGTCTTCCTAAAGGATGCACGTGAAAATGGATTTGTCGATTACTAAAAGCGTATAAAGATGTAATGAAATTAATAATATCTAATTTTTGAAAGTGGCTTTAGATGTTCCTTTCACTACTATCTACGCAGACACTTAAATGACCGGTATTTTCATCTCCTATGAGCACCATCACCTCTTTTATTCTTTTCGCAGTTCTACGATTATCATCTATGAATGCGATTGACAACGTGTAAGTATGAGCACATTTTGAAGGATTTTCTTCGTTTTTCGTTTTTGTGCTGACCAACTCCGTAAAGACTTCCGCTGCCTTTTTACTAGGTGCGTCCACCAAGACAACGATTTCTTCGATTGGTCGACTGACCGAATTTATTGAAGATGGTTGGGCCCTGCCTAGGTTTTGTGTTATTCCGTCGCTGCTTTTTGCAGCAAGGCAATAAAATGTGGAGGGACAATCTGTGAATTACCTTGGCACTCTTTCAAAACTCCCTGAACCAAAGGAATACCCAATCTGCTTTCGGAGGCGTAAATAGCTATTTCTTGAGAAAATGAATCCCTCCACGGGAGCTACGAAGTGTTGGACACAGATAATAACCTTTCTGAAAAACGATTACAGCCGCTCTCGTAAATTAGTGGATAAAAATGTTTAAATTATATACGAAAATGCCACGAAAATAGATGATATATTCTCTTATTTTAACAGACGATTAAATGATATGTGACATTCCGGGAGTTTTCAAGACATTTTATTAGATACTTCCATAGTGGATGGTGTGTGGATGCAATGTCAAATAAAACCACGGACAAGTGCAGCCCTACTGACAAACTCTCTGACAGTAACCAGTGTAATAACAACAGGAAGCCGACGACTGGTAATAAGCCTAGCCAGGGAAGCAGTGGTAACAACATTGAATCTTCGGACTTCGTAAGTTACCGTTCTTTTTTCATTTTTTCCTTTTTTTTTTGGAGGGGGGGGAGGGGGTGGGTGGGGGGTGGGGGAAGAGTAGTCGTCGAGAATGTTCGCCGTGAGCGTCGATTAAATCGTATATGGTACCATATCGGTGCAAAAACAGTGGCCGATTTCAAGCAGTATTAGAATCCTGAAGCAGTAGTCAGAGACGGAGACTAAAATAGAAAATTACAGCTGCACCCTACCAGAAAGGGTTTTTTGCGTTCTAATAATTTTTTTTCATTAAGACATAAGCTTGCTTGAAAAAATTACTAATTTTCAAAAAATCCCACACACTTTTTCGCAAACTCTGATATAGTTGAATAAGATACAAATTTACGGCCAGCAAAGCATACTTTTGTGGTAGCCACAATTTCAAAGTTGTCGGGGAGACAAATTCGTCGAAAGGGCCTGTAAGGGTTTGATTGATGAATTATTCAGTGAATTCTTATAAAAGGCGTTCTAGGTGCATTTGTGAATATGAAAGGGGTAATGGGGACGTTCAAAGCTCAATTTGTTGCTTCATCGAAGTTTCAAAAGAGAGCATTTGGTGCAGTGGTAAGAGGTGCTTCTCGTCGCGCACGAGCTCAATGGTTTGATCTCACGCTCATGGCTCACCAAGCCATCCATCCCTCCGGGGTCCCCAAATTGGTACCAGACTGGTTTCAGACTTGTCTGGGAGGATAAGCAGCACTGACTCGATTCAGCGGTGGACCTCTGCAAGTCATTGTAAGGCCAGATATGCATTTAGTCACCTCAAACGAAGTTGTAAATTGAAGATGAATGCATGGTGCATCCCTCAGGGAGTGATTAACGCCAAGAGCTTCATCCTCATCAGAGTTATTGTGCAGCGCGTCATAGAAAGTTTCATATAAGGAGATGGAGCATTACCCTTAACTAAACGCTAATAAGTTCTCCGAAACTTAGTTCATTATGAGGCAATGATAATCTTTTGCGAAACTTTCGATAGGATTTATGTTGAAGCAGATTATTCCATATATATAAACCACAAAGCAACAGCCATAATTTTCTTCTAACATGAATTTATTCTTCTCGAACCAGCAGTTGTTCTAAACGTCGTCAGTTGTCGTATTTAGTTCACTTTTATCGTACGTACAGTCGAAAATGAGTAATACCTGTTATATTGCGTTAGAGAAGGCTTGAGGACGACAATCTCTTCGAATCATCAAATTCATGT